GGGAAACTGTAAATTCAGTAGATGTTTTATAAAACTCTGGTCTTCAGTTTTATTTCCCTGGGTTAATGTAGTTATGTGTGATGAGCCTTTCAATAAAATAAATTGCATGTAACATGACCATTCTAGTCATCCTGTTGTTAACCATGTCTGATGACTGCATGATTATTAAGTAGGTACAGTTTGGTCTATACAAACCAGAACACTGCTCAAAAATTCCATGGCCTGCTGAGTATGGATCCTTTGTTTTACTCGTGGGATCCAGAACCTGCCTGTTCCAGCACTAGGAGTGCTCAGTGACCATCTCCTGTCCCAATGAGTTGGTCACACCAGCACCACAATCAGTGGTGTAGCTGCTCGAAGGTGTCACTCAGGTGTGACTTTGAGGAGTGGACTCTTGTCAGATCTAAAAGAGCACAGAACCTTTATACCACGTGTCATTCAGGCTCTTAAATATTTTATTAATACTGCAACAGCAGCAGGAACCACTTTATCTGCTTCTGTAATGAGGCCACATCCTTAAGGGAATGTGTTACAGTCTCAGTGCTGCACAGCAACTAAGATGGAAATGTTAAAAAAACAGGAATGTCAAGGGACAAAGAAATGAACCACCATAGAATGTGTCCAGGGCACTAGGCAGTTCTTAGAAGTTCCACAGACAGTTCTGTGCCTGAGCCTTGGAACAGTAACCCCAGTGCCTTTTAGAGGTCTTGGAGTGAGATTTAAGCACTGATTTACAGAAAGAAGCACCACCCCAGACTGTCTGCATCATTCACTCTTCACTTAGGCTTGGACACAGGACTTACCCAAGTACTGACTGCTCAGTGCTATTGCAACAGTCTTTGCTACCGTGACCTCACAACACCCAGTTATGGGTGAAATGTTACTATTTGAGTCCAGGGGGAACTTTAATTTTTGTTTCTCTGTGCCACTCCTGGTGTAGTATAGGTTAGAGAACAATATCCAGCTGCAAACAGGAAACAAGCTCTGGTGTCCTCATTTCCTACTCACGTTAGTCTGAGTCATATAGGCCAAACTGCGAGCTCCAAAAATGGAGCTAAAGTTCAGGGAAACTCTCTGCAAAGTATTAGCTTTATATTCAGCCCAACACAAGTCAGTTAATAGATAAATGTAGTCAGTGTAGATGAGTTTTCTCACCCTTAAACCCCTCATTTCCTCACTTCAAGTTCCCTATATCCTTTCTCCTCAAGGTCAAGCATTCCTTATCCACTTTCCAGAACACATTGCTGGGTCACCACTTCAGAGATTTCTATCACTTCTTTGGCTGAAGACAAAGTCCAGCACTGAAGTTTATCTGCTGCATCCTGTGCTCTACAGCCTGTGTGCTCTGCCACAACGTGTGGCATTAATAAAGCATCAGTGGGAAGCACTGTACCAGCTCTCCTGTGTGTGTCAAGAACAGAAAGCAAAGAGCTCTCCACACAAAACCGCTTTTTGAATGCTGCTTCCTATTCACTGCAGACATAAACCAACGAGACAGAATTCCTGTCTCCATGGCTGTGTCATAGGTACTGCATTAAAAGTTGTTGATAGAACATTATCTACAGTTTCACAGTCAATCCCTGTCTGTTTGAATACAGCTTGTCTCTACAGGGATTCCATGCTGAAGCACTAATCATCCTTTCAACAAACATGTAGTTTTCAGATCATAAAGCCACTGATCTGATAAACATGCAGGAGATTTCAGTGATGACAAAATCAGTCCCTTTCAAGGATGCAAGGTGGACACAAGCAGTTTAAACCAGTTTTTGGCTCACATTGTGGCTCTTGGGCTATTAACATTTGCTCCACACAAAGATTTCGGACAGGGTGAACTTTTCCCTCCAAAGCAGCTGAGGCCAATCCTCCAACACCCTCTCACCTCTTGGCCCTGCAGTACACCCTTCCCCTCCACGGGAAAGGCCTGGGATGTAATCCCACCCACAGGCTGCCTTATATAAGGCCTGGCTGGAGAATTACTTCTTCATTTGTGCATTTTTGACTGGACCTTCCTTCCACCCTCTGGCAATGCCTGTGGATTTCAGTGGAACCTGGAACCTTGTCAGCAATGACAACTTTGAAGGTTACATGGTGGCTTTAGGTAGGTGGAAATTCCTGATTCTGTCCTTCCCCCATAAAGGCCCTTCTGATTTTTAAGTTCTTCTAAAAAACAGAGATTGCTTAAACTCTTTTTTTCCTCTCATGAACAACAGAATGATCTTTGCTGATAAAGAGACAGCATTAACTACATTTTACATGTCATTGCAGTTTTCAGGAATTTCTCAGCCTAATACATACTAAAAGTAGATTTTTTTTTCATCTATAGCTTTCATCAGAGACAGGAAAGAGTTTGTCTTGTCCACTCAATTTCTCTTGCTTCTGAGCACAAATAAGCCTATGCCTAGGGTTAATTAAATGCTAAAGCACAAAAAAAGTTCTTGGGTATTTGCCCCTTCCAGGCAGTTGTTTAGTTTAGTGTCATCTATCTTTAAACAGCTTACAAAACATTTCTGTCACTGCTATGACTTGCTGAGAAGTTTCTCTAAGTGTCCCTTTGCTGAGTGAAGCCAACCTCTTTCTTTGCTCAGGTCTTTTATAGAGAGAGATGAACAGTGCTTTAATGGGGAAATAAGGAAGTTTTCAGCACTTAACTAGCTTTCTAGTCCATAGCTCATTACAGACTGATAGCAGACAACCTCGTGTGCTGCCCTCACCTCTCCCACCCTTCCCTACCTTTTGCACTTGTGTAAACTGATAATCAGCACTGTCCCTTGTGGGTCATTGTATACACAACTAGAAAGAAATCTGTTTCTTGACTGTATCTGTGCTGGGTGACCTACTTCAATTGTCTAGTTCTTATCTTCACCAAGGTGAAAGAACTCTTTGTGTTACTAACCCTGCTATTGTCCATTAGGAAAAAGAGAAAGGTGCTCCCATAATGAGTGTTTACTCCTCAGTTGGGATACTAAGTCATAAACTCTTAATGTGTTCAAATGGAATAGAGAATCTGTCTGATCCTTGATGAGAAACATTGTCCAGCTAAGTAAAAGGTTTTTACAGTGGAACATAACTACCAATCTCGTGGAAAATGCAATTTGGTTTCTGCATGTAGTGGGGGGAACTTTCTTCACCTTTACTTTTACAAGTATCCCGTTGATGACTTACAACCTACCTTCAATTACTCCTGTTTAGTTGCCAACATGCTGAACAAAACAAGGCCTGAAATTGATATTGTACAGCTAGAAAGAAGCACTTATCTGCCAGAGTAAGAGGAGTGAGGCTAATATCTGATCAGCTGAGTCACTAGAGGGTTACAGATAATGGTTATTCCAGGCCTGGCCCTTCCTGCAGTTAATATCTGCCTCTAAAGAAGAGATTTGTAAGTAGTTTGTATTTACACATTCTTACAACCATGTTAAGGCTTAATGGGAATGGCTGTGCCAGGACTGAATTCAAACCTCCCCTGCTAAAATCAACTGGCAGCTTGTACAAACTGTGCCTGACATATCCTGGCATGTCTGCAATGCTTGGAGTAATGGAGTGCCAATTTCAGCTGAATCCTGAGCCATATGGTGCAACACAGTCACTGAACACACCCTGACAATGAGATCACAGCCTGCATCAAGTGAGAAACTTCCACTGGTCCTATAAAATGACAGTTTTATTCCAGATGATGGAAACAATTAATACACAGCCCTCATTTACCCATCCCCCTGCCAGAAACCCTAACTCTGAGCATCTATTGGGATGCAAAGTACTTCTGCTGCCTTCCTGTGCCCCTGAAGAAACAAACACTCCCTGGAGGAAGAGAAAAGCCTCCAGAGGCACTCACTGCTTTTGAGCTCCGTGTCACCAGAACGTCAGGATTCTGTTTCAGATGACTGATCATTACAGATAACCAGGAAATCTTTGGACAACTGTGATGGTTTCTAGTTGCACTTAAAAAGTGTCATAGCAAGAGGCATGTCCTGCTAACCAGCCTCGATATTTTGAGACTGCTCTTCATTTTGCCCTATTTAAGGTATAGGGTGCAGAGAGTTCTTGTTAATTCTTACGATGCCTTTTCCTCTGACAAAAGATGAGAATGGGTGTTAATCATTTCCTCTTGCTAAGTGGGGGTTAAGTCTGAGACCAAACTCGGGTGTCTCTGGGGGGAAATCAGCTCTCCCCAACTCCTGAAAAGTCTTACATAGGGATTGTGCAACAGTGGAGTAAACTGGTATTCCAAGAGTAAAATGTACAAGAGGATGACTTAATCTGTGTAATGTACAGCTTTGAACAAAACAAAAAGGTTCCAATCAAACAACAAAACCCTGCACAGCAGTAAGGTCAAACCACCTAAGAAATACTTCTAGCAGTACTAAAGATTAAGTCCTGGCTGAGCAAAAGGCTGTCAAATGTGATCAATACAACTCTGACCTTTTTGCCTCCTGTCCAAGGTATTGACTTTGCAACTCGCAAAATAGCCAAAATGCTGAAGCCTCAGAAAGTGATCAAACAAGATGGAGATTCCTTCTACATCCACACCACCAGCACATTCAGGGATTACACGCTTGAATTCAAGGTGGGAGTAGAGTTTGAGGAAGATAATAAAGGTTTGGATAACAGAAAGTGCAAGGTAAGAGTGGATATATGAAATCATGAGGTTGTGACAAAATTAAGAACTACTCGAGCTGAAGCTGGTTCAAGAACACTATCTGTAATGCAGTGCAGAGGTGGGAGCCTGAGTTACAGACAAGGAGTTGTACTCAGGAGCAGTATTTGGGCCCTCTTTATGCAGCAAAAAATGGACATTGTCTACAAAGGCCAGGCTGGATGAGCCTTGAGCAACCTGGTCCAGTGAGGAGGTGTCCCTGCCCAGGGCAGGGGTTGGGACTAGATGATCTGTAAGGTCCATTCTTCTACAAGTGCATTGCAGAACTGAGACAAAGACACAGAAACACTTTTGTTTGCTGTCCCACAGAGCCTGGTTACCTGGGAAAATGACAAACTCGTGTGTGTCCAGACTGGTGAGAAGAAGAACAGGGGCTGGACTCACTGGCTCGAAGGAGATGACCTCCACCTGGTATTTATTTCAGATTTCTACTCATTCTCTTTGTGACAATATAATGTGGTCATGGTGTGCACATCTTTTAGCTCTGTAGTACTTGTAATGAGTGTGCATAGTGAGCACATTGTGCTTTGAAACAACTTCTCAGTTTGACTGTAAGGTGTGGTTAAATTCAGCATGTTAAGCACAAGTTATTAGCATGGCCAGAGTAGGCAAAGGATCTGTGTCCACTTCTGGAAGCAGTTCCTTGTTTTGATTACTCTATACACCTACCCTTTTGTTTCTTTGCTTCTGTAGGAGCTTCGTTGTGAGAACCAAGTCTGTAGACAAGTGTTCAAGAGAGCCTGAGCCTGTGTGGTGCTCTGGTTCCTGCCTGAGAGAGCTCTGCACAGGGCACTGCACATCCTCACATCCAGCGACGGCTCCACAGACAAGAACTGATTCCTCATACCCATTGACCTGAAGGGTCTGATGTTTCTGGCTCAGGAAAGAAGTTTCTGTTGCCAAAGATCTGATTTTTGCTAATAAACGCTCCAAAAATAGTCTTAAGTACTTAACTTTTGAATGTGGTTTTGGAGGAAAAAATACCAACCCAAACCAGAAGTGATGTGGTCTGGGTCTCATCAGACAGAAGAGGGGAATGATGGGAGAGAGGGGGAAATCACAAATAAGAAATCACAAATAAATCAGACACCAAAGGATGCAGATTAATTATTCAAAGTGCTTCTCTGTAAGATGTAGACTAGTAAACTGCACTTGTTTGTGTCTGAGATGTAAATAATAGTGTGAGGTCCCACATTGTGTCACAACTGCTTTGTTCTCCAAAGTAATCAAGTTGAGCTTACCAGAGGGAAGCAGCCTGTGGTCAGGTCCCAGAGAAAGGAACACGAGTTTGTGTGATCCATGGAGATTCCAGTCTGCAAAATAATGGAGCTCTGTAAGGACATACACAGAGTGAAAACAATGCTGCTTTAGTTAAGATGATTTGCATACACTGTTCAGTTAGGTTAAATGTTTTTCTTTATCACACGGAAGGAGTAGGTTTTATGGTGAACACATGTAAGAGGTTAGATCAACTTGGTAGTTACAAGTGAAATGAGTTGTTGCCTATCTTTGGTAACACTAAAAGTGCAGGGATCTTATCAGGAGTGGATAAAGTGTTTGATGAACTCTGTTAATTACTCTGTATGAAAAGTAATCCCTGACCTTTTGAAACCTGAGTAGCACAATCTTTCTGATAGATCTTCTCAGCTCAGAACACCTAAAGCTCCCACCAGAGGCAGAGAGAGTCTGGTGAAGCATTGACAGCTTTGAATTAGATTGACCTCCAATAATTACTAGAGACCTCTGCAAATTTGTTAGTTTCCAAAATATGAAGCAAAGAACTAATCATCTTTAGACAGGACCAGCAGTAAAATACCTGCTGTTTATTCCATGGATCCTGACAATGTTTTCCTTCGGGAGCTGAGTAGTTTTCGCTTATTTGAAAGCAAAGTTGCTGCTGCAGCGTTACTCGAAGGGAAATAAATTGAGGCAGCAACAGCTCTGCTCACTGCTAGGGAAACCAGCAGCAGCATCGCGGCTTTGTGCTCCACTGGGTGGCGCCTCCGCAACGCGCTGCAGCCTTGGGAAAGTTCTCGGAAAGGTTCCAAGTGTCAAACATTGCAGATATTCTCTGCTCTTAAGTTGTGCTCTCCAATAAAAGAAGCAATACAGAAAGGCAATGATGACTTTAACTGTGCTGCACAAAGAGAGACGCCAAGTAGACCTCAGAAAAATACAACGTTAGAAACCTACATGACTAGAACTCCTCAGTGAGGCTGTCAGCAAGACCTTAGTGTTAGGAATACAGGAGAGTTTTTATCAGCAAAGTGATATTTCCTATTGCTTCCGACTCCAAATTGCTGGTGTGGAAGCAGATAACAGAGTACAGAACTCACTTGAGCATGTTCTGGTGATCTTGGGGATGAGAGAAGCTCCTACAGTGACAAAACTGCTCATTCTCATTTAATTTATGTGCAAACCAATTTCATGAAGCACAAATTAAAGATCTTGAAATGCAAGGTGTGAAAAGAAAGGGAGCAGTCATGTGTTCTGTGAGGGGAATAAAGGCATTAGGATAAGTCTTTACCAAGAAAATATGCCCTGGAATTACAGGACTGAAGGGCAACAAATTCCCCAGAGAAGAACTCAAAGGCTTTGATTCAGAGGTGTTTCAGAGCAATTATCTTAAAAAAAATCCCAGGAAGATAAACACAAAATGAATCTAAAAATCAAAGGTAACAATGCACAGATGTTCTATTAAAAGACCAGCAATGTATTATGATCCAATTATTTACAAAAGAATTTGTTTCCCTTCTGAGCTCCATGGCCAAGTCATCAAAAGTGTTGTGTTCAAACTCCTTTACACTGACACAACACAGAAGATGTAGACTGAAACACAAGCCCAAATTCCCTACCTGCCTCATACACATATTTAAAACATCAGTTTTATTGCTATATAATTATTTGCAGTGCTTATGAAAGTATGTCCTGATTGCTCATACACAGCAGTTTAGTTCCATCTTGAGAACATCCTGTTGTCCTGCTTTTATGGGATTCTTCCCCTCTCTGACTCAAATTACAGTGCCTGTTCAGGTCTTATTGCCAGTGACTGTTCAGCCTGGGCTAAAAACCTCCTGGTGCAGCTCCCAACTTGTTTATACTCTTCCCAAATCACAACTTTGCTCTTTCACCTCCATGTGTTATAACTGATCAAACAAGCCAAGCTGGGGGTGACCCTCCAACTCCCTCACAGCTAACCTGGTTGGTGTGTTCTATACTGAGTTTGGCTTTGAGTGTGAGGGAAAACATTCATGTGTTTCACAAAAATACCATTTTGTGGTGTAAGGAAAGAACAAAGTGCAGAAAGGTTTGTAACAAAGAAATACTTCAGGTTCAAACTACAGTTAGACAAGGCCCAGTGCTCAGTGGGGCTTAGTGCCTTGGTTTTCCCTTCGTGTGTTACTTGGATTGCAATAATTAGATGAAAATGCTGTGTAATCTCTGTTGCTTCTCACTGGGAAGTGGTTAATGCCTCAGAGCAGTGGAACAGGCACAGACCCATTGGGGAGGGAAGGCTTCAGCAGCCTGACCTGAAGGACTGTGGAGTCCCTGCCTGAGGGGCTGCTCCTGCCTGTGGGTGACACCTCAGCCAGGGACAGCTCCCTCCTTCCTGCCCTGCTCAAGGCCCTCATGGACCCTCGAGCCACCTCACCCAGGCCCCTCATGGACCCCTGAGCCCACCTTGTCTGAGCCCCTCATGGATCCCTCACAGACCCTTGAGAACCTGCACAGATCCCTCACCAGCCTCTCTGGGACCCCTCACACTCTCCTCATGTACACCCCATGGTACCCTGAGCTGCCTTCCCCAGACTTCTCACTGTTCCCGAGCCACCTCCTGGGACTCCTCACAAACTCTCAACAGCACCCTTAGCTGTCTTCCCCAGAACCCTCACTGCCCCCTGAGCCACCTCTCCAGACCAATCTCCTCAAACCCTCATTGCCCCGAGTCACCTTCCCCAGACCTCTCACTACCCC